GTACAGTTCGCAAGCGAATGATTATATGACGAACCGGGGTTATGAATTCTCACTCGGTGAAGGTCTTTATTTTGGTCAAGGTATTAGGGTTCCACCCCGTCCTGCCTATGTACCAAAAGCAAAACCAGATAATTATTACAGTCGTAATAGGGGTCTGGGTTATGCTTCATCATCCGATGACGATTATGGCCAACAGATCATTAACCAATTAATAGATAGGAGCGGACATTCATCCGATACTTCAAATTGGGATTCTGATGTGAGCATTGGAGAAAAGTTCAAAAGTCTCATGTCAAACATGGCAACAGTTGATCCTTCTACAATAGAAGAAGACGATCAGTTACTCACTTGGGAAGATCCTTGGACACATTACATGAATATCCAATACGGTGATCGATTCGAGCAAAGAGAACCTCCTACTGAGGATAAAGTAGATCAGGTTAATATGGGCGACGAAAATAATCCGAAACCTATATTCATCAGTGGTGATCTTCCGCCGGACGAGAAAGAGGAACTAATCGCCCTCGTTAAAGAGTATATCAACGTTTTCGCTTGGAACTACGAAGATATGCCGGGACTCGACCCAAACGTAGCAATGCACAGCCTTAACATAAAATCGGATGCTAAACCTGTCAAGCAACAACAAAGACGGTTTCGTCCGCAAATTATGGAGGCAATAGAAGCTGAAGTTAAGAAGCTAATTGATTCGGGTTTTGTCAGAGAGGAACAACACCCTGAATGGTTAGCCAATATTGTTCCAGTCCTTAAAAAGAACGGAAAAATCAGAATCTGTATTGACTTCAGAGATCTGAATACGGCCTGCCCCAAAGATGACTTTCCTCTACCGATTACGGACGTCATCATCGACAACACATGCGGGTTTGAAAGAATATCATTCATGGATGGATTTTCTGGGTACAATCAAATCAAGATGCACCCGGATAATGAAAAGCATACAGCATTCAGAACACCCCTGGGTGTCTTCTGTTATACTGTTATGCCATTCGGCTTGAAGAATGCCGGTGCTACATACCAGCGAGCAATGACGAAGATCTTTCAAGAGCACCTCCGGAAGACTGTCGAATGCTACGTTGATGACCTGGTCGTTAAGAGTCGTGATAAAAACGACCACATTAACGATCCGAAGACAATGTTCGAGCTTATGAGAACTCATCAGCTAAAAATGAACCTGACTAAATCCTTCCTTGGAATGTCGAGTGGTAAATTTCTTGGATTCGTCGTCACCACAAAAGGTATTCATATTGATCCTGATAAGGTGAAGGCAATACACGAGCTGCAACCCCCGAGAAATCTTAAAGAACTCAGAGGGTTGCAAGGTCGATTGGCATACATCCGTCGGTTTATATCAAATCTGTCTAGAAAATGTCAACCGTTCTCTAAACTCGCGAAGAAAGGCGTGTCGTTCGTTTGGGATGAAGCATGCCAAAAGGCATTCGAAGATATTAAGAAATATCTGGCGAATCCACCTATTCTCGTTGCACCGAAATCGGGCAGACCGTTTTTGATTTATGTCAAAGCGACGAGCCATTCGTTAAGTGCATTACTTGCACAAGACGACGATAACGGTCACGAACAAGCTGTGTATTATCTGAGTCGTACATTGGTAGAAGCTGAGTCTCGTTATCCGATGATTGAGAAGGAATGCCTCGCTTTGGTATTCGCGATTCAGAAAATGCGACATTATTTAGTCGGACAGACGATTTATGTCATTTCCAACATAAATCCCGTCCGAGTGTTCATGACCCAACCGGCTTCCATGAATTGGCGTTTGGCCAGATGGGCCTTACTCCTATCACAATATGACTTGTATTTTAAGCAACAGAAATCTGTTAAAGGACGAGCTATTTGCGATCTTCTGGCGGAAAACCCTACGAAGGATGTAGTCGAATTGTACGACGATCTGCCAGATGAAACTCACGAAGTTAATACCACCTCACATCAACAAGTGTGGCAATTGTACTTCGATGGGGCTTCCCGAGCAACCAACGTGGCAAGTTCTTCCGGATGTTCTAAAATCTCCTCAGGAGTGGGGGTCGTTTTAGTTTCCCCGGAAAAGCACGTCTTGCCTAGAGCATATTCACTGACTGAACCATGCTCTAATAACGTGGCTGAATACAATGCATTAATAATCGGACTTAATTTCGCCAAAGAGCTGGGGGTCGAATACCTTGAAGCTTTTGGAGATTCTCAACTGGTGGTTAATCAAATACGAGGAGAGTATGAAGTCAGAAATCGAGACCTGATTCCATACCACCAGGTGGCCATCGAAATAGCAAGCTCGTTTGAAGAATTTTTCATCGAGTACGTTCCGCGCCTCCAAAATACAGCGGTGCACATCAGCCCGGTCCTAAACTCTGTGATCGACTTAGGAGAATCGGGTATTATTGGCCAACTATGGTAAAAGACGCAGTCGACTACGCACGACAATGTGAAGCGTGTCAATTGCATGCAAATTATATGCACATGCCCCCTGAATATCTATATCCTTCGGCGACATCGTGGCCGTTCGAGACATGGGGAATGGACATTGTGGGTCCCATTTTTCCGCCTTCAGTTAAAGGGGACCGTTTCATTTTGGCAATCGCCGATTATTTCTCAAAATGAGCAGAAGCAGTTCCACTTAGAGAAGTAAAGACAGCTGATGTTATCAAATTTATTAAACACCACATCATATATCGGTATGGTGTGCCAAGACGAATAGTGCACGACAACGGTCCTCAATTCGTGAGCAACGCATTTATCAAATTCTGCGGTAAATTCGGGATTAAGGACGTTTCGTCGACAGCTTATAATCCTACAGCCAACGGATTGGCCGAAGCTTTTAACAAAACTATCATCAAAATTCTGGCAAAATTGGTGAAAATCAATAAACGGGATTGGGACGATAAACTCGGTGAAGCTCTCTGGGCTTATCGTACGACCGTCCGCACGTCTACCGGAGCCACCCCGTATGCTCTAACATATGGATGTGAAGCCGTCCTTCCATTGGAGATACGGATTCCTTCCCTCCGTATCGCTCTTACAACGGGAATGACAACGGAAGAACATCATCAGAAACGTCTCGAAGAATTAGAGATGTTAGATGAGAAACGCTTGGAAGCTCAACAACAAATCGAGTTTTATCAAGCTAGAATTTCTCGGGCTTTCGATAAAAAGGTCCGACGACGAAGCTTTAAAGAAGGAGATCTAGTCCTCGCTGTTCGAAGACCTATGATCCTCACTTCCAAAAAGAAAGGAAAGTTTGAACCTAAATGGGAAGGACCGTTCGTGATAGAAACAGTCTACTCAAACGGTGCATATCGCCTGATTACTCAGGATGGTAACAAATTGATGATGCCAATAAATGAGATGTTCCTGAAAAAGTATTATCCGTAATACGTTCAGGATAACCTATGTAAAACGGGAAGTTCCTAGAGAATCCTGTATAGGATATTTCAGGATAACCCGATATCAGTTGATTATTCTAAATGAAAACTGATTATGTGCATGATCTATTCTTAATTGTTGTAAAAATGATTAAGATCCTCTTACTACTTTTGTTGAGATGAGATTTAATGATAGTTAATCTTTCCTCAGCAAAACCTTGTAATATAATCATGGAAAATGAGATTTGATGATTTGTAATCTCACGCTATGAAACCCCCATCGGTCGGATTGATCAACGATCATCAGTATGTATCAGTCGACAGATTATTTCGTGTCAAATTCTTATGTTTAAAATCAAAATTTCCCACCGATTAGTTTGTGCAAATCAACAAACTCATTGTTATTTGCACCCTACTCCTATTCCTCACTTGGTCAAACCTTTAAACAGTTAGGACCAGAACCAAAATCCCCTCTCGATTCCTTCAATGAACGAGAGGCCCACAAATGGAGCGATCAAACCTTCCTACGGTTAGGATCGTCTCAAAACTCCCACTTGGTCAAACCTTACTACAGTTAGGACCACAACCAAAATCTCCTTTGGATTCATTTTACGAACGAAAGGTCCACTTTTGAATTGAGTAATCAAACCTTATGATAGTTAGGATAACTCAAACCGATTCAGATTCTCTAAGCGGAGATCCCACTTTGAGTTTCTTTATACCAGGAGATAGAATATAAAATTCTTCCTCTCCGATTCTGGGTTTATCTCTACCAACAAACAAGAGACCAGGAGATAGAATATAAAATTCTTCCTCTCCGATTCCGAGTTTATCTCTATCAACAAACAAGAGACCAGGAGATAGAATATAAAATTCTTCCTCTCCGATTCCGGGTTTATCTCTACCAACAAACAAGAGACCAGGAGATAGAATATAAAATTCTTCCTCTCCGAGTATGGGTTTATCTCTACCAACAAACAAGAGATTGAGAAATGGAATATACAATTCTTTTTCTCTCCGATTTTGGGTTCGTTGTCCTATATAGGAAATGCAACCTATTCACACTTTGAAATCCATGTTGTTCACACATGGGGGATGTTATCTCTATCCCTTATTAGAGATAAGCCTACATCTAACACATGTAGCCTACATATTTAACAGTGTAGTTCAAAGTCTAAAAGAGTTTAATTCTTTTAGCACAACGTTATATGTGAAACGGACTTAGATAATTCACATACTAGCCCGACTCAAACGGTAGTCGGTGAAGGCATACCAAATCCGTTGATGGCTGAGGATTTGCCAAAAATCCTATGAGTATTATGGTTATTTATTCTAAACAAGAATGAGTAATCATAATAAAATCTTAATAAACAAGAAAGTTCACTGTATTAACCAAATAATTCACATACTAGCCCGACTCAAACGGTAGTCGGTAAAGGCATATCAAATCCGTTGATGGCTGAGGATTTGCCAAAAATCCTATGAGTATTATGGTTATTTATTCTAAACAAGAATGAGTAATCATAATAAAATCTTAATAAACAAGAAAGTTCACTGTATTAACCAAAAGAGTTCAAACGAAACAATATAAAAAATAAATGTATGTTCTCAAAATTACAATAATTTGTAATGGCGGAGTTCATCTTCTAATTGGGAAAGCCTTGTCGCAAAAGCCAGCTCGAGCTCAGGTATCAGATTTGCTTTAAATTTCCTTTCATCGATGCTTCGGATTTCGGCAGCTTTTTGCTCCTTGTCAGCAAAAATCTTGTCCTGGAGATTCAGTTGCCGGAGTGTAATCACCTCAGCTTGAGTTACCTCCGCTAGATCAGACTCCAAAAATTCACAAGCATCCTTAGCTTCGGCAAGTTGCTTTTCTAAATGAGCTATCTCTGCCCGACGCGACTCCAAGTCACGATACATGTCTACCTTTATTTGTGCTTTCTTGGCAGCGCTCACCTGGAGTTGATTGATGCGAGTTTTCAGTACTTGAAGTTCAGTTTCAACGGATTTCTGAGAATCACGCCATGCCTGTAGCCTCAGGTCCGTTTGAGAAGCGATGTAAGAAGGTGCGCCATTAGCTCGAAAGTTCTGCAACTGTTCAATGTGATGTTTCAGATCGACCAAATAGGCTTCAATGGAGTTAGACAATTCAGTGCACCCCTGTTCTTTAATTCCTGATACATGGCGGTCGAGAGACTTCCTGAAAAGTTCAAATGGTGAACCTTTAAGAAGAATTCGATCAACCATGGCGTTTAAGAAAAGAACGAAGCTTTGGACGTCAACGCAGAGGGCAACTTGGTTTGGATCTTCATCTGCCAATAAAGTCTGAATACGTTCGGACAATGATGAAGAAAGAGCTGCAAGGGGAATAAATGGAGTAAGCACAAAAATATATACACTCGCTGGAAGGTTTCACAACCGGGTTACCTTGGCTTGTTGAGGTCATAGCAGATTCTATAACAACCGGGATTTGTTCAGGAATAACGCTTGTCGGTTGAGTCACTACACCAGACGATTGTTCACCTGAAACCCCTGATGGTTTCGGATCCAGAGCGACAAGATCTTGAGGAACAAGTTCTGTCAATAAGGAAAGGATGAATAAACACTCCGCGAATATTAATCTAACTTCGAAGCACAACTAGATGGGACATACCAAGTTGAGTCGAAGTAGCAGGAGGTTGCTCTTCCACTGTAGCCTTCGACCCTCCTACTTCATGATCCACTGGAGTCGGAGCAGAAGGCACAACAGGTTCAGCTTCGACAATAGCGGAAGGCGAAGGAGCAGTGGCTGGGGGGTGCACTTCAGCTGGGGGACTTGCCAAAGTCGGAGGAGCAGTGGCTGGTGGTTCAACTTCAGCTGGGGGACTTTCCAAAAGTAAGAAACCCAAACCTTCAGGTTGATCACATTCACCAATGACGGTAGACGCATCAACTTCGTTGGTTGGTCCTACGTCTAAAATTCTTATTTCAGTCCCCCAAGAACAATAAAATATGAAAGTACAGTTGAAAACTGGAATCTAAAAGAGTATACCTTTTGATGCACCTACTTCAGCTGAATCAACTCGCGTAGTTGGTCCTGCAGTAGCGGATGGAACCGGAGGTGATAGTATATCGGAGATCTCCTGGTGTACATCTTCAGAAATGTCAAGATCGAAGTCTCGCTCATCGAAATCTCCGATACCCATATCATGGGTAAGTTCTATGTCTTTCGGTTCGTTGACAGGAAGGTCTATTAAGCAGAAGAATCCGTCAACATATATGCAAGAAATATGAAAGAATCAAAGCAAACAAAATAAGGTTACCTTCAATAACAATTGCGGGGTCAGCAGCGCTACTATCCGCACTCACCTCCTTTAGTTTAACTAAAAGAAGATAAAGCACACAAGTTAGTAGGAGAGGAACACGTTCCGATTCACTTATCTTCCGGAAATGCCCCCTAAATGAGAAAACATCTGTACCTGTGTCGGCAGTTGGTGAGGTCGATGTAGTGGCCGGAGGAGGGGCAGTGTCCACATTGAGGGGTTCTTCACTCATCGCTTTTTGCACCTGTTGAGTGAAGCTGGACTCATCAACATCCATTAAACCTGGAGAAGAAGGCTCGGGCACGATTTCCCCTTCCTCTTCTGGCTCAGCTATAATGGCAAAGAGAGAAATAAGACGCTATATTCAAAGATGAAATAATGAAAAAGAAATAAGAATGAGATCTTACCCCCTTGATCAATCGGAAGATCCTGAGTAAACTCTTCTTCAGGCAATGAGGAGAGTTGACGTTGCTGATAAGCCATCTTCTTAACCCTTTTCGAAGCACGAGAATCTCGAGGAACTTCGGAGCTCTCATGGCGAAACTTGGAACGCAATTCAGACCCTTGAACAGGGCTGGGTTGAACTTCAGAAGAGGCAGAAGATCGGGATCTCTTTCTGCTAACAAGCGGGGTGGCCTCTTCCTCTTCTTCTTCTTCTTCCTCTTCAAGCGCAGGCCATCTGACCGTCATCTTGTTAGAAGACGATAAGGGAATAGTCTTCTCCATCATTCGAATACCCTTTGAAGGAGCACCGGGCGACTTGGGCGAAGAAGCTCGACGAGTCCTGTGAGCCACGGGAGATAGAGAAACATCAGCCTCTGCTTCATCTCTAGCCTTATCTTCCTCACTGGATGTTTCGAAGTCATCACTCTCTTCGGAATCAACTGCTTGTTTCTCTTTGCGGGAAGACGTAGCGGGCTCATTTCCTTTTTTAGATACAATTCTCCGAACCACAGCTTCGGATTCCAGTTCGGAAAGCTTCTTCTTTGCAAGAGGAGTGTTGGCGGCTAAAACCCACCGACAGTAGAGGAAAGTTAAATGAAGGCCAGGCTCAGCGACAGGCAGACTAAACTGAGCTCCGGTACAGCCGGCAACATTCCAGAACCAGGCTCGTACTCCATCAATGAGGCTCCCGCAGGTTATCAACCATTTGTTAGGATTCCCAACGTACAGTTGATCGTAGCCGAATTGTCGCGCGAAACGGCAAGGAAAATAAGGCTCGATCCTGCAAAGGTTCCTCGACCGAAAAACATTATAGCCTGGGCGAATGTTCATGAGCCAATGGAAGCTACCCACGTCGAGAGAAGTCCTGTTAGCTCCAGGCATTTCCTCGTCAATGAGTGTATCATTATAGGCACCATAAAACTGAGGGAAACACTTGTAAAATTCTGAGCACTTGGCATTCTTGAACTGCCTCACTCGGTCAATCCACGGTCGGGAAGGATATAACCACTTACATCTCTTGAACTGCCTCACTCGGTCAATCCACGGTCGGGAAGGATATAACCACTTACATCCTTCTAAGAGCTACAACAAGGGGATTTCTGGATCAGACGCGTCAGGTGCTGACATCATGTCCGCTCGGTGGAGAACTAGCCACGCCATTAAATATGTGTACGACAGTTCGACGCTCGACAATGGAATTTTAGTTGAAGGCTCAGCACCCACTTTGGTAAAAGTGGTAGATAGGTTACGCAAACCGCTATGGAGGTCAGCGATCATAGCGGAGAGTAAAGATAATCTACCCCCAACAGCTAATTGCACGGCGGGAAGAAGAACCTCAAGAGGAAGCGCCTCGGAAGACTGATGCGGCACTACACATTTCTTTAGCCATATGGCCAGATAACCAGAAAGAAGAGTCGCAGGCTTCATTCTCTTGGTGGCTTGCCATAAGAAAGTGCTGAATTTAGTGCCCTTAAGAAAACCGCCTTCAGATGACTCGGTTCTATAAGATTGGGCATTAATCTTCGTAATCAGCCTGTTAACGTCAGAAGGGGTCAGAATCGGTGATTCGCAGACAGCTTCACCGGTCGGGCTCTCGAGATTCTGAAACAAATAGTCAGCGAACTGTTTTAAACTGACTCGAGCTGCCTTCTTACTCTTTACTTCAATCTTGGCTATCGCTATTTGATAGTGACAAGTTAATTCCCAAAGTATGTCATAAGCAGGAGAGCCAGCCTTCTTCATCTTCATGAGCTGACGATTGTTGGGAAAATATTCTTGATAAGGAGTGTTCCCCAATGGCAGTCCAGATACTTGCATCATTTCGTGGAGCGGAAGCCCTAACTCCCCATACTTGGTGAGAAATGTGTTGGTCTCCGGAATATAAGACTCGAACAAAGCAAGGAAATGATCTACGCTGACTGGAAGGCCATGCATGCTGGCTCGGATCGGAGCATATAACCCCAAATTCCTTAACTCTTGATCCCAACGATTGAGTACATACTTGGTCATCCTAGCCCACCATTTGTCGGGAAGAGAATGAACCCATCCATAACATCTAAATTTCGGAATGGGGAGTTCTCGGCCAACCCTAGCGAGCCTATTCTTTACGGTATTGGCCCTTATCATCAGTTCGTTCTGAGGCCCGCTATCTGGTCCAAATATCCCTGGGTGAAGGCCACGGACATTATGCCTGCCAATGGAGCCAGGAGCACTGACATCTTTGCCAATAAATCCACAATGGATATGCTCATGGTCTTCTGTTAGATGCCACGCCATTTTTCTCAAAACAGCAAGATTCCTTAATTGCAGAATTGAATACTGTCGAGGGAATGGAGGAAGGAATAGAAAAGCACCTTCGTGCTCATTCAACCAAATTTCAGGGCCACGGCAGAGATTGTCTGGATCTTCTATCGAATCTCCGAACAGATAGTCAGGCTTCTTCAATGGTTCGGTAGAATCTCTAGTTGGAGTTAAGGGTGAGTCGGTCAGCAGAGCACGCAGAGTACGACGGCCTCCCTCGCGAATCAACTCCGGAACATTGTTATCACGATCTTCACTAAATTGGCGGGCCTCTCTAACCAGAAAGTCGCCGCGAAAGGAGACGTGAAGAGTACCACTCTGGCCTGGGTCCTCTCTATCAGAAAAAGCCACAGAGGGAAAGGGGACTACAAAGAAAAGTTGGAAAACAGTTGTGTAAAAGAGGCTAAACAGAACAAAACCTCGCTCTAAGTGACCGCGGCACCATTTACTGTCGTGCGTTACCGCGGCAGGGTATGTTGCCGCGTTCAGCCGCGGCAGCACGTACTGCCGCGGTAACTAAACAGCGGCCCCTTGATTTCGACAAGACACGAGTTCGACAAAAACTCGCATCTGGACTGTGGTACATGTCTTGATTGAACAAGATATGTGTTTTTAAAGCGTCAATCCTCTCGATGGAGGATGTCAACTCTTCCCGAATGCCTCTCAAAGGAGGCAAACGAGGTTATACGTGCAAAAACAGTAGTTTTGAAAGGGGGAAGTGTTGAAAACTCACCTCCAAATGAAGCGACAGCGGCCTCCGTCTCTTCAGATGCGGGGACTGCAGATTTACCCTTGGAAGCACGAGCTTTCTTGGGAGACATGGTGAAACCAACCTGAAAAGCAAAGAAAATTAGGGTTTTTTGTGAGATCCCAAACAAAAGAACGAGATCGGACCATAAGGCACGAGATGCAGGGGAGTTTTTTACCTGGGGTTGGAGGAAATCAAGTTTGATCAAAGGAAGAGATCAAAATCAATGAGGATTCAAAACCCTAGATCTCAAGAAAACCCTAAATATTGTTTAAGCAAATAGCACTCGAATATGAAGAGTTGAAGAAGGGGAAAGCCAGAAAAATCCCTTTATATGGCTTTGGAGGAAGTTTCGAACTCAAAGAAGCGGGTAAAAGTAACCCTAAAGAGCCCAACAGCAACCTTATAACCCGACTGGCCGAGGCGCTGCGCGGCACTCGACACTGTCGCGCTCGAGCGCGACAGTCTATGTTGTCGCGATCAAGCGCGACAGTATAAGCTGCCGCGGCAGCTAACACAACATGGTTCATTCTGGCTTGCAGAAACACTGTGCATGCAAGATAATTCTTCGACGTTTGAACACATACATCTCCTACTGTATTTGGAACACATACCCGAACACACTCCGATGAGTATATGAGTATAAACTGCATCTCCCTGAACCTCCCAACGGGTATATGAGGTTAAACTGTTTCCCGAACACTCCAATAGAGCATATGAGTATAAACTATTTCTCCATTTTTCAACAACAGTTCTGATTCAAGACTTCGACAACGGCCACGCGATAAACGCAGTACCGGAGGAATTTTAGCTATTCTACAAAGCACTGAGTAGACTAAAAGATAAAGAAGTCAAGGATTGAAGCCATTCATAGATCATTCTACGCAACTTCTTCAACAAAGCACTGGAGAAATTGCAAGGAAAGCTTATTATATCCAAAGTGTCCCAGACTCCTCTCTAAAAAAATGATGAGTCTGAGATACTTTGGAGGGGGTATCTGTAGGCGTCGAAAAATGCTTGCAGGCATCCAAATACCACTCAAAACAATATGGGAGAACAATTTACACGTCATCAGGCAACACAAGGTGGCGCGGCAGCCCATGGTGTCGCGGCTAAGGCGCGACAGCACATAGTGCCGCGGCTAAGGCGCGACAGCATACAGTGCCGCGGCTAAGGCGCGGCAGCCTGTTGTGCCGCGGCTAAGGCGCGGAAGCACGATGGAACGTGCTGATAACCGTCTCTTTGGCCGCGGCAGCCTATACTGCCGCGCCAATAGCCGCGGCAGTGTAGACTGCAGCGGCCAAAGAGAAAACACTCAGTCAGTTATCTTGCCCCCGTTTCAACTGTAGTGCACTGATACCCCTATAAATACCTCCCTAAGCACGAAATAAAGGACAGAGAGCATTTTGGAGCAGAAGAGGCTTGAGCTTTCAGTGATTTTGAAGAAGAGAGAGAACTTTCACCCTTTGACAAGCATCATTCGGTGATTCCTAGAGATCTAAGCTCAGACTTGATCTTTGGAAGAACGGACATCTTACATCGATAAGATATTCGTTTTCAAATCTTTACTTCGATAAATGAAGGAGAGATCCCTAAGCACCCTCACGATCTTTGAATCGGTGGTCAACGAGCCAAAGCACTCACGGCACAGGCAAAGTCCCACAAAACAGGAGTTGATAGACAATTTCTGTGTTATTTTCTCGAGAGTTGTAATTTTTGTTTAGTTTCATTGTAATTTCGTGTAAACAAATCAAAGTTTAATGGAATCGACAATGGAGTCAACTTTCGCTGAAAACAATAAGATACACATTAAATTGCGCTACAGCACAACACTTGTAAACGACAAAAATGCATATAATGAGGTGTAGGCTGTCTAAAAATCACAATAGATAGTTCACCCCTATCAGACTTCAACTGATAGTTTTGACTAAGGAGGTTACAATCAGATGACTTTTTTGTTACCAAAGGAAAGCTGCAATCAAAGGATTCCCCTATGGATCAAGAAGAGATTACAAGGTAATGATTTCTTCAAACCAAGAAGCAGAATTCGTCCTTGCAATCGAAACACAAGTAATTTCCAACGTCAATGCAATCACTACATCCGCGGCTCTACAGTCGCTGCAAACGCAGCTCTATATCGCTGCAAACACAGCCTCATATTTGAAGTGATTGATCTTGATGGCTGCGACAACAACATGACTAATATTATATTAGCAACTATTAGAGGTGCTGATGAGCAGTGTAATGATTTCAGAAATAAAAAGTTGAACTTAGTTGGTGAGTTGCTTGGTAGAGAGCTGTGGGCAAATATTCGACATGCTGAGAAGCACATGGTTAAAGCCATGCAAAGAGATCTTAGTGGAGATCGTGACCTGTAGTTGATAGAGCGTTATTGGGATGCCTCAATTATCACAAATGGCATGAATAGGGTCTTCTCGACTGGTCATCGGTGTCATCCATATATAAAGACAGAGAGGGCAAACACAGCTTCATATCACTGCAAACACAGTTTCATATCACTGCATACGCAGCTTCATATCACTGCAAACGCAGTTTCATATTACTGCATACGCAGCTTCATCCGCTGCAAACGCAGCTTCATATCATTGCAAACGCAGCATCATCCGCTACAAACGCAGCTTCATATCATTGCAAACGCAGCTTCATATCACTGCAAACGCAGTTTCATATCACTGTATACGCAGCTTCATCCGCTGCAAACGCAGCTTCATATCACTACAAACGCAGCTCTACAGTCGCTGCAAACACAGCTCTTCAGTCGCTGCAAACGTAGCTCTATATCGCTGCAAACACAGTTCTACAGTCGCTGCAA